AAAAATCAAACAAAACTCTGGTTATGTCAAAAACAGACCTGTACTCATTTTTAATTTTTTTTTACTTCTCTGTTTGTATATATATTATGTTGTGTTATTTCAAATTATTTCACTTCAATTTTTAGAGTTATTTTTAAAAGCCCATCTAGTGACAAGTGCTGCGAATTAGCTGTTGCTATTGCACTATGATGCAAACATGGGACTGCTGTTTCATTCAGTTTGTCTATGTAAATGTGTGTCTGTCCCTATCAAATAAACTTTAATAATAATAATACATTTAGGAGATGGTCGAATCTAAGGAAAAGTAATCATATATGTAATCAAGCTGCGTAAAAATATTTGTGCCCCATGCCAGCACATTGCCTTGGATTCAGTATACTAACCTACATGTTCATATATATTTTGGAAACAGGTCTTTTCCAGCTAAATAACAGAAAATGTATGATTTCCTAAACATCTTTTATACAAAGGCAACTCCCATTGATTATCGGTGTGTTAAGCTGATCATGAAGTCATCAGAAAGGCTTCGTCCATCTGTTACAATTTTTTAAGACTCATCTTTTTAAGATGTCATTATAACAAAAATTCCTGTCAACTATGCATCATAATGCTACATGTTGTTGGAGAGAAACAGGCTGCAGAACCTGCAGGTTGGGGGCGTTTCACTTCGGGACAAATTTTTTTCGCTTATTGGTCAGTTGCTAACAAGTCTCTCTGACTGATTAATGGGTGACGTCATGTCCATTATAGCTGAATGTCATCTTTGAAATGCAGCATCTTGATTAAAAAGGCATTTTTAAAGATGAGTGTTTACTGAAATACTTGAAAATTATGCATATCTGCTGACAATTATGAGTTCTAAAATTGAAGGGATTATTTTATGAGTAATTATTTAGGGAATGTCTTAAACAAAAAAGAGTAGCCTTATAAAGCAAGATTTATAAGTACCGTCTTTCCACCGTTAAAAAGTCTGCTAAAGCTTTGAGATTTAAACTTCAGCTTCGATTAGTACTTTGTGTGTTTATCTTGTGTGGCTGGCCCTATTAGACATAGCTTTGGCAAGTATAACAGATTTGGGTAAGGAATTGTTTAAGATCAATGAACATTTTTCTGCTAAAATATCTTGACAGTCTTAACTCTTGGTAAAGCTAATTAAATTGTGAATTTCTTAGCTTTTTTATCTCTTATCAACCACAATTGGTTTTTGTTGAAAATTTTAGAAATTATATTCCTAATACAGGTTAATTGCCTGATAAAAATGGTTAAGAATAAAACTGTATACCTACTTGCTAGACTTTAGGTTATTGTATGAGCTCCTCAGCAGCCTTCATGTGCTGCAGAAGCCTTTTTATCTTTTATTTGTGTTGCAAGTTTGAGGTGTTGCACTAAGTAAACACCTCAAACTTGCATGACAGTGGTACTTAAGGACCAGAATTAACATTAAAAACTGGAGCCGAAACTTGAACTGACGACCCTTTGGTTGAAGAGCAAACCTCTGCAGCCATCACCACTGTCACCCCAATGTTATATTAGTTATAAAACTGATTTGAAGCAGGAGGGTGAGATGATTAAAAAAATTATAAATTAATGGAAGCTGTAAATGTAAATCCTAATCATTAAAGACATTGGTTGAGCTGAAAATGGCATATTTGCTGTTCTATGAGCCCTAATGCAAGCCTGGTTATAAGCCCTAGAATGAAACAACAGGTTTCCTTCCTTTTATAGTATGCTCATGAATATTTAGCTGTGCACTGATTGGTTGGTTTACAACGAGCGAAGATGCTGAGCAAAGACGCATCATAGCAACAAGCACTCACTCACTGAAACATCAAATCGTTGATATGGTAGGGTGGCCAGACGTCCTCTTTTTACCGGACATGTCCTGCTTTTCATACCTAAAAAAAAATGTCTAGGGGGAATTTCAAAATCGTCCAGGATTTTGGTCGACTACAGTCCTGCATGTAATCAAAACACACCGGGCATTCGAACCGAGCCGTCAGCTCTGGGCCGGTCACTCCGGGGCGAACATAAAACCATGTCATGTGGATGTAAAAAGTGTTTTGAATATTTACATTTGTTTCATTGATGCCCCCACACCTCAATTTTTTTCCTATTTCTTTTCTTTTTAATCCTTGATATAATACTGGTTTGTTTGTATAACTGTTTGTACCGTTTATTGTAGTTTGATGTGTTCATTTTTGTAGTCATTGTTTTTGTGTTGTCTTTAAATAAACAGACATGTATACAAGCTTTTAAGAAAAAGCAGAAATCATATTTGTCAGATTTTAAATAGTTGACCTAAAAAAACTACTTAAAGTAGGTGTTAAACTAACTTTTCCTAATTCCCACGTCTCATTACACTATATAAAATTATGAATCCGAGATTACATATTTTAAATATATATCCCCTTTCCTGTCAAGAAAGATTTCCATAAACAATAGGAAAAAAAAGCATGAAAACATTATCCTTTTTTGCAGATAATCATTATAATGTGTTTCATTTAATAAACCAATTTACAAAAAATATATTATTTAATTAATTTAATATGTCAATATACATAGAAATAAAATTTTGTTCAATATAAAATATCCAGTGGGGATTAGAAAATTAAAAGCGGAACTAAATATCGTTCTCCGTTTTTTCGGTACAGTTACAGTGAAACGCACAGCAGACAATAACGTTAGCGTTCCTTGCCACAAATAGTTAAAGACAGGTCCGTTGATTTAGGTCATTCTTTAAATATGTGCAGTAAAATGTCTTCAGTTCAACTACAGGGACAGATTAACAACGAAGAGTTACCTGATGCCGAAGCAACGCTCTCTGAGTTTAAAGAAATAATCGTCAAGTCGGAAGAAGAGATCGATGAATGGCGCCGACTGGTGGATTTTAGCCGGACACCCAAGATCATTTTACACCGAATAGGTATGACACAGCAGCAGTAATAACAGTGCAAAAACAGGAAGGTGATTTTATAAAATTCAGAAGATCACCACTCATTTTGGTATAATTACTGCTCTAAATGGATTGCTGGGTGGGCTGGCTCTAGGCATGTTTTACAGTCTCTATACTCTAGTTAACGATTAATCGATTATTAAATTAGTTGACGATTGTTACAACAATTAATCGATTAATTAAATCTATAAATTAAACGATGAATCTGATTAATTGTTTCAGCCTTATTAGCATGATCTGCCATGATTTTGACTTTTTATTATTCATTATAATAATCCAAATTACAGTTTGTGATCTTTGAAAACCTCTTCTTTACTCAACAATTAAAACAATTTACCACAGTTTCCCCAATGTGGGACAATAAAGGTATTTTCTTTTCTAAGTTTAAAGAAGCAATGCTTAAAGTTTGTGTGTAAATGAGGTCAGTCTTCAAACTTTATTGCATACTTAGTTTGTTCTTTTCAGTCATTTTTTATTTCTGAACAACTTATATTGGGCCCGCTTTAAAATGTTATGTTTTATACTTTATTTTTCACAAGGAACATATTTTAAGATGCATTGAAATCTTGTATTATTATCATTATTTTTATTATCATAACCAACTTTAAAACCTAAAAGCAATTGCTTGTTTTAAAAACTTTCTATCCCCATGGTAATTATATCATTAGAAGTTTCTTTACATTGGCGCTGTCATCATGCTTTCACCAGATCAGAGAGAGAATGATATGGCTGGGATTTTACTATCCAGGCAAGTTTCGGAACCTTGGGGGTGACACAATTAAAATAAAATAGTGTTTTGTAATCTAACATTGTTTAAGGGTTTTACTCAAAGACCCAGAGTGCAGGCTGTGGGGATCAAACCAGGTACTTGCAACCGTCTCAGAGCACAAGCGGACTGCTCTAACCACTAGGCCAACACTCCCCATGGATGGATGGAGAGGAACATTAACCGGAGCCAGAACTTAGTCATTATTCTTTATTATTTTGCTCTTTTATCTGTTCCAATCTCTCTTACTAGTGCTGCGCCATGTTTATCAAATGTAAACAGAGTTGTTTCAGCTTGTTGGATCAGAAGCGACTGGCACGGTGTGTTGATGTCCATATGTTGCGTTCAATGGTGTCGTGTAATTTAGCAGGTCAACCAGCGTCTGGTGTTCCCACATGTCGTTTGACCCGGGTAGACACGCATTAATGAGCTGTTCCCACTGCAAATAACAGCTGATTGTTCCTGGGTTTAAACTGCTTTTTCAGCCAGTCTGAAAGGGGTATGAGTTATCAATTTATCAATTATATTTTTATGTGATTAATCTAAAAATAAATACTATTAATAATTTAACATTAAATAACATAAAATAGAAAACATTTAAACAAATGTTTGGAATTTAGAAAAAAATATGTTTTGCTGTGAATTTTATATAAATTATAAATGTAAAAAAAAGTAAAAAAAAACAATGTAAGCATGTAAAAAGATATATTTCAGAGCTTTTTCTCTTCAGTCAGCAGGACTATGTTTATTAAGTAGTTTGCTATATCTATGTTTGCCATTTTTAAAAGGAATGAAATAAAGCCTGTTTAGCTGCATCTAGGCATTAAAGTAAAGGGTGTTATTTAACTCACATTGTTTCTTTTCTAGATCTCCCACAAAATTGTGTGGTCAAAGAGGAGGAGGATACCAGTGAGCTGAGGCATCAGGAGGGGAACTCCACTATAGTTAAGGAGGAACCAGAACCTCTGCAGATTAAACAAGAGCAAGAAAACCCAGAACATCAAGAGTTCAAAGAAGAAGAGAAGAAGCAATCGATCTGCTCGTCATTCTGCATCCATCAGGAGGAAGAGCAGTTTGTGTTAAAACAGGAGCCTGATTTCATTTTGGGGAATCCTTTTAATGTGCAAAAAAGCTACAATGAAAGCAACCCAAACAGGGACCAGCTGATCTCGTGGGCCTCCTCTGAATATGAGAACCAGAATAAGGAAGGAAGCAGTTCTGAAGACCAAGGAATAAATGGAGATGAAGAGCAAAAACAAAATGAAGGATCCCAGAAAACCAAAGAGCAGAAATGCACTGCTGACAGTTCAAAACAAAACACAGCCAAGAGAACTCACAGAGCGGAGAAGCGATTCTCATGTACTATTTGTGGAAAGAGTTGCAATAAAACATCTATTTTAAAACGACACATGAGAACTCACACAGGCGAGAAGCCTTTCACATGTGCAACCTGTGGAAAGGATTACAGTGACAAGTGTAGTTTACTTTATCACATGAGAATTCACACAGGTGAGAAACCTTACTTGTGTGAGACCTGTGAAAAACGTTTTAGGACTAGATCTAATTTAACTCGTCATATGAGATCTCACACAGGTGAGAAGCCTTTCTCATGTACTACCTGCAGAAAACGTTACAGTCAACGAAGTGCTTTAACATATCACATGAAAACTCACACAGGTGAGAAGCCTTTTTCATGCACAACCTGTAAAAAGAGTTATACTCAAAGAAGCGGTTTGAGCTATCACATGACCACTCACACAGGCAAGAGGCCTTTCTCATGTATGACCTGTGAAAAATGGTTCATCAGCAGATGCAACTTAGTTCGTCACATGAGAACTCACACAAAGGAGAAGCCCTTCTCATGCGCAACTTGTGGAAAAAGATTTACAACAAATTATAGTTTAACTCTTCACACCAGAGGTCATACAGGTGAGAAACCTTTCTCCTGTATTGCGTGTGGAAAAAGTTTTGGTCATAAAAGCATTTTAAGAATTCACATGAGAACTCACACTGGTGAGAAGCCTTTTTCTTGTATCACTTGTGGAAAGAGATTCAGTCACAGGAGCCTTTTAACAATTCACACAAGAAGTCACACAGGGGAAAAGCCTTTCACTTGTGTTACCTGTGAAAGAAGTTTCCGTGATAGAAGCCTTTTAACAATCCACATGAGAAGTCACACAGGAGAGAAGCCTTTCCCATGCACTGCATGTGGAAAAAGTTTCAGTCATAAAACAATTTTGAATCGTCACATGAGAACGCACACAGGTGAGAAGCCTTTCACCTGTGTTACTTGTGGAAAGAGTTTCAGCGGAAGAAATGGTTTCACTCTACACATAAGAAGTCACACAGGCGATAAGCCTTTCTCATGTACGACCTGTGGGAAACGTTACTATGAAAGAAGTGGTTTAGCTTATCACATGAGAACTCACACAGATGAGAAGCCGTTCGTTTGTGCTACGTGTAAAAAGGGTTTCAGAACACGATCTGTTTTGACACGTCACATGAGAACTCACACTGGTGAGAAGCCTTACTCATGCAGTACTTGTGGAAGGAGTTTCAACCATAAATCTGTTTTAATATGTCACGTGAGGACTCATACTGGTGAGAAGCCTTTCCCATGTACAACCTGTGAAAAAAGGTTCTCCTCTGGAGGCAATTTATCACGACACATGAGGACTCACACAGGTGAAATGAGGTAACGCTAAACCTACAATTTGACAATGCTTGGTAACTTCCTGTGTTGAAGGTGTAGTAATTGACATGGCGGTCCAGACAAAGCTCTAACCAACACTGTAGTTAAGGAATCCTTAACTGAGGTATGGTGTCTGATCAACAAGGTGACCGGCACTAATTGTTTTCTACAAGTCGGTGAGGTTATTTCAGACAGAATTCTTACATCAAATATGCCTTTGTAAAACAATATTCCCATAACGTAGTAAGAGAGAGGGAAAGACAGAGCAAGGCTGCTCGTAAGCAGCAGCTACTATTTAGCTTATATAAATATAATTTATCTATTTGTTTTTTTTAAAACATGATAGAAATTAATATATGGACTGGTAGGCTACAAATATATTACCCATTGGGGTTGATAAGCTTTTCTGAATCATTATTTTTATCTCTTAGTTTCTGTTTTGGGATGCAAATACTGCTGACTGACAACAGCACAGACATAAGTTAGGTTTAGATTAGGGATGGGCAAGTATTTGCAGTTGCAATATAATAATGATAATTAAATCAAATCATAAAGGTCAGTTTTTACCTCAAATGACTCTTAGGCATGGGTCGGTATATAATACTGATGGTATATCAGCCTTATGTAAAAAGTATTATGGAATCAGTATTATGATCATATTGCAAAATTGTGTTATTTCAAAATGTCTAAATTTAAAAAGATGTTTGTAAAAGTTACTTGTCTTTGAAAGACATCTAGGACATGAGATAGAAGAAATATGAATTAATTTTAATTGTAATGCTATTTAATAAAGATAAATACATGCAGTACTTAATGAAATCCTTAAATCAAAACTCTGTCTTAACAGTTTTGGGGACTTGCTCAATAATTGAAATATCTCTTAGTCAAGGTTATGATTCATGAATGTAAGCGTGTTAGCTTTCTCTGTATTTAGCTTTTAGCTGTAAGGTCTAACCCCAAAATCCCACAACCGCCCCGCTCTGTTCCTCTCCGCTCCAGACCGCCTACAGCCTCCATGGTTCCTCCTGTCTTGCTCTGCTCTTAGTTATTTGGAGCTCGAGGAGAGAATGTGCGAATCAGTGCTGTTACCAGCTGTCTGACTCGGTAACACGGTTGTAATTGTTTAACACTTATACATGATGCTAGGGGTAGCTTGTGCATTTCAAGACAGCATGGCTTTCCCTTGAAGTTAGCTTGCAATCATTGGCAATGTTTCTGCAGATAAGCCATCATGTTGGTGTTCCCTCCTTTGGCTGCTAATGTTCTAAAGCTTGACTTGCAGGTCAGATACCACCCTCCTTCAAGCCTTTATTGTTCGACTTCATGTGGTAGCCTAAATACTCAAACATGGCTGACTATTCTTTTAAAAGTTAAAAGTGGGCAGAGGTTTGGAGCATTCACCTACTGCTGTCATAAATCTACCTGCAAAACTAGCAGCTACAAGGCTGCACCGTGCACGCAACCTGAGTGATCTGACCCAATTGTCTCTGGCGAGAGATACATTTTAAAAAAGCACTACTGACAACATTACAGAAAACTTAAATGTTTTTGAAACTTGACTTTTTCATACCGGGCAACACAGGGTACCTTCTCACTGCAGGCTTTAATGTTCAATTCCGATTTTTTTTGTGAAATCCGATTCTTTTTGCCTGATTGTTCACATTTCCGTATATATGCAACTTGTATGTGATCTCCTGTGTGAACTGCATTCACACAACTTAAGTGTCTCACTTGTGTAGTAGAGGATGAGGTCTCTGTATTTATGGAGATAAACATGGTGGGTAGTGCTGGAGCATCTTGCAATCTTTCATTTCTTTCCCAACCTCAGCCAGTGCATCAACAACACAAACTTTTCAAAATGGTTGAAAATAAAGACTGCTTTCCGCATTATTGCCCGCTATGGTTGTTGTTTTTCTTCTCACTTCTGTGTAGCAAGACAGAATAGGGACCTTTGTTGAATATTAATGAAGTACAAGTCGGATGAATGCGACCTGGCCATTCAGACACAGGTCACATTTGAAAAGACTATATACATATGATTCAGGACCAGAAAGCCAAATGGGCCTGGGTCGCATTGGAAAGAAATCTGTGTTGTTCAGACAGACATGAAAAGATCAGATACAGGTCACATATGGGCAAAAAGATCAGATTTGGGTCACTTCATGCTGCTGTTTGTACGACTGCAGCCTTAGAAACAGGTGACCAGCCCATGCCTAACTGCATTTAACTACAGTAAGGCACCGACCTTCTCACTCCAGCCTTTAAGTGGCAGGAAAGTGGGTTTCCAGCCACATAGAAAGACCGAGTTACAACTAACAGGCAGAAGTAAGCCCTTTTTCACCTGAGATGTTTTGCCTTTTAATGTTAAAATATTTTGCTTGACTTAACATTTGGTAAAGCTAATCTAAATGGTGACCTCCTTTACGTTTGTAACTTTTTCATTCATCACACAAAAGTTTGAAGAAGTTTTATCTTCTTGGTTAAAGAAATGTATTAATGAAAAAGATTAACTGTCTAATAAATATACTATTAATAAAGGTGTGTTCCAACTTGTTATACCAAAATCTGTTTTCTTTTTTACCTTACTGGGACCAATTTTCTAGGAAAATGCTACTTGTGGGGTCCCCTCAGCTCGTGGAACAGTTCTCTTCTTGGGTTGGGTTTAGGTCTAAGGTGTGTGGTCCTGTCTTGGCATCAGAGTGAGAACCATTATTCAGATTTAATCAATTTTCCTGCTCAGTTAGTTAACATTTAGGTTCAGGGCTAAGTTGTGAATTTAGCCTGGTTTAGGGTTAGGGTGATGTATGTACTGGTAATGGCTAGGTTTAAGGTCAGGGCATAGAAAGGGTTAAAAAATAACTGAAAATCAACGAGAGTCAACATACAGCGCTACATACAACAAGAGCATAAGTTTAAGCCAGGAAAATGTGTAATGATGTTGCAGGTTTTTGTAAAGAGATCTAGATCTAGATCCACCTCTACCATCAATGGTTTACGAAGTTTCGGCTGAAGTTTCAGATAATATTGCAGCATTATTATAACTTGTTTTAGTGTATAAAAAGTAAATAACATGAAGAGGATTTTGACAGAATCAGAGCATATTTTGCTTAAATGTGTTTATGACATCTCAGGATAATGGGTTTGGTTTTAAACCAAAGCACGGCACTAGCATGTGCATTTATGCACTTAGGGAAATAGTAAATCTGTACAGGGCCAAAACAGAACCTCCCCTTATGTACTTTATTGATGCTTCTAAAGTTTTATTTCAGTTAAGTACAGAAAATTCTTTGATAACTTAAAGAAAAGGAGAGTCTGTAAAAAGTGCTACTTTGATTTGTAGAACCCAGCAGGACAATTTTTGTTTTTTGTTTAAATCGTCCAACAATGCCCTTAATGTTTCTAATAAAATTAAATACCTTGGTCATTTTATTACTCAGAGATGATGATGATGATGATGATGATATACAGACAACTACGTAAGACTTATATCCCGGCTAACACCATAATATTATTCTTGAGCCTAGCTAAAAATAAATAATGGATTTAAATTATGCTTTTGCAGCTGACTGTATGTTGAGTTATGTTTACCTCCAAGAAGGTGAACTTCCACTCCATAAAGTCTTTAACATTGGGGTGGACAACTGCTCTGATTAACCTACATCATCTTACTGTCGACTTTGACCAGCTCCCCCGCCTCTACTCAAGATGATGATGATGACTCCCACATCACTGTGTTTTACAGGAGGATTGTGTTCAGGGTGATGTACAGAGATAGATCGGTCTCTACTGAAACAGTGCTTTCTACTATACATGTTCCTAGTATGCCTTAAATTACCAGCTGCAACCTGTGATTGATGTCTCTTGTGTCAATTTTCAGTTATTCAAAAATCTGAGGATAGAACAGCTATTTGTTGACAGATTCTCCCACTGAGCTGGGGATCTATGTGCCCCATCCAGAGTTACCCTCCTGGCTACGTCTCTGATTTATATTCTACTTATTTGGACAGTTTTAGGTGAATAGAACAATTCTCTTTCATATGATGGATAAAAAAGATTTATTATATATATATATATATATATATAGTCCTGTTCTACATCTACTTTAAAATGTGTCCTTTGTACTATTTGCAAATTACAAAGTTTAACAGAAAAAGAAAGATCAATAGGGTTACTTGGATGGATGTAATGGAGATTTAAGCCACCAGGGAGCACTGTTAGACTTTTAAAGATACGCGCTAATGAACTGGAGACGTAGGGGGGGGGTGAATCGTTTCCTGTTTTCTTGCTTTACTCCATATCAGTTGGTGGCGGTAATGCACAATTCACAAGTCTGCCAACCGCCATAAAATCCCATAAGAAGAAGAAGAAGAAACTGGAGACGTAACGTTAAACAATAGGTGGCGTTATGCATGTTGGCAAAACTGCCATAAACCGAAGGAAGAAGAAGACAGGGAGCTGATGAAACAGACGAAGAAGAAGCCACACGGAAGATTAGCACATTAGCTTTAGCTTCCCATCTGTCAGAAGGTAGCTGATGAATAGTCTAGTTGTTTTATTTAAACATGTGAATGTCTGCAGCAAAAATGTCTTCATTTCAGCATCCGAGCGAGGTCAAAAACGAGCAGTTAATTCCAGATGAAGAAACATTGTATGACTTTAAAGAAATTATTGTCAAGACCGAGGAAGAGATCGATGAATGGCGCAGACAGCTGAACTTTAACCGCGCACCCCTGATCATCTTACACCGAATAGGTGGGAAACCCCGGCGGTACTTAGTTAGTTAGTTAGAAGCTTAGTTAGTTAGTTAGAAGCTGAAATCTACAGTAATGTCATAAACATCACAGATTTATGCGACACGGGAAGCTTTTTAAGCTGTTACACAAAACTAAATGACTGGGAGATGAAATATCAGCTCTAATTGTAAGATGCTTTGGACCTGGACTTTTTACTGATTCTTCAACTTATATTCAAATTGCTATTTGTGATCCTTATAGAATATGTTTAAACTGATATTGTAAATATGTTTTGTGCTTAATATCTACTTATAGAGCATATATTATTAACTGATTTAAATGATCACATTTGTGAGATCTAAAAGAGTTTGGATAGGGCAGAGAAAGAAGGAAAAAAATGACATTACTCTTACAATTCAAACTCAGACAGAATTTTCATTCATGGAAAATATAAGATCCAGTTTAGTTTGGTATTTGTATTCTTTTCTTATTTTTATTTTTGTTTTAGTTTTCAAAAATTTGTTATTAAGGCATCTCAAACCAGGACAGAAAGATTGAATCTAAATGAGTGACTGAAAACCTAATTTTTCTTGGCATTTTCGTATTGAGGTTTTCTATTATTTGGTCCTACTCTGATCCTTTTTTAAAATTATTTCAACATACTATTAAAGTCTGAAAAAAGATCATGATACATGTATTAGGGATGTCACCGTACAACTTATACTGAATACCCATATTGCAGCTTTGAGAATTGCTACATACCGATATTGACCCGATATAAAGTTAGTACGAATCACACCTTTTTTTTTTTTTACTTATTTTATGCTGTAAAATGTTAGAAAGAGCTTGATCAGGTCATATCACTACAACAGGGAACACAAGTCAACAACAAAAGGTATGAAAACAACTGACCCATGTAAAATAACCAATGACTTACAGAAACCTCTGACAGAAGCAGATAGTTTCTATTAGTCACGGGTTGTTAAGGTGTTATTAAGCGTTTCAACACATTGCCAAACTGTATCAATGCTTCATTAACACTGTGTCACTATACTGATACCTGCTGGACTACTAAAATCCCTACATGTAGCCCATTTGAAAGACTAAACTGACACAGATTTGATGTCCTAGTAATACTATAGTTCTATATTATATTGTATTATGCTTCCGTGCTTTGTAAAGTCATTTTTGCAAAGTTGGATGTTATGACTTTTTTCACTTTGCAAAGCTTAAAGTGCTAAAGTGATCAAACTGTGTTTGCTGCATCTGTTGTTATTACTGTTGAATTTAGTATAAAGAAAAAATATTTTGCTTATCAGCAGCTCTGTCTCTGTGTCACTCTCCTGCTTTGTAGTGTCTTTTTTTTTCTTATTGCAGTAAACTGGCTGATGTCTAATAACACAGTAAATGCTACTAATCAATAATGAAATTTGTTGCCATTGCTTAAAATGTATTTAAAAAAAAACAATTTTATTGATTTGTTATTGCAGCGGTAGAATTGATCCGATGGGTAAAACTGGGCCGACATAAACCAATGACGCTTATTTCCATCTAGTAGCTGATAAAAACACAATGCTTCTGTCTAAAGGTATTATGCCTGTTGTTTTCTGTTATATTAGTAATATCACTTAATCAAACCTTTTCTAACATTTCACACTACAAAATAAGTATTACAAATATCTATGATTCATGTAGCTATCATATCAGGTCAATATTGGTATGGGTCAGTTCTCAAAGGTGCAATATCGATATCATACCAGATATGAAATAGTTGTATTGGGGATATCGTTAATGAGAGTGATACTGTTGCAGCACAGGATTGGCCCTGTGTTCAGTTTTTTTCAGGGTGTGTAACGGTAGGATTGCTCAAGTCCAGTCCTCAAGAGCTACCATCCCATGATTTTTAGATGCATCTCTTCTCTAACACACCTGAAAATATAGGCTCAATCCTCTCATTTAGCTCAGCAGAGGCATGATAATGAGCAACTCATTTGATTCAGGTGTGTTAAAAATGGGGTGGGTAAAAACGTTGCATGATAGTAGCACTTGAGGACTAGACTTGAGCCACCCTGTCCAAAGGGTATGGATGTATAGGTCGTAAAATATTGGTTATCAGCCATAACATCAATAGTAATGTTGGATATTGAAAGCGGCTTAGCTTTTCATATTAGGGCATTCCTACCTTAATGTAAAGGGTACGTTTTTGTACTTAAACCTTTTTTTGTGTCTTTTCTCCAGATCACCCTGAAAAATGTGCATGTAAAGAGGAGGGCGTTTTAACTGAGATCAGCAACCAGGAGGGGGAGTCCACCTTAGATCAAAAGGACCCAAATCCTCTGCAGATAAAACTTGAACAAGACGAAAGAGAACATCAACAGTTCAAAGAGGAGCAAAAGCAACTCTGCATCAGTAACAATGAAGAGTACCTTGTACTGAAACAGGAGACCAATGAGGTTCTTGTAATCCCTTCTAATGTGCTACAAAACCCCACTGAAACTGAATTGAACAGTAACAGAGTCATTTCTCTAGCCTCCCTTAAAGTCGAAAACCAAGATCAGGAAGGAAGCAGTTCCAAGGATCTCAGCAAAACTAGAGATGGAGGGCAGAAACAATATGATAGATGCCTTAAAACCAGAGAACAGAAAGACACTGCTGACAGTACAAAAGGAAAAACACAACTGAAAACTCCTCCTGACCAAAATATACAAACTGGTCAAATTTGTGATAAAATTACATCTCTAAACAGTCACTCAAAGACACACATAACAACTGTTACAGCTGAAAAGCCTTTCTTATGTACGACCTGTGGAAAGAGTTATAGTAGAAAGTCTGTTTTAAGGCGTCATGTTAAAAGCCACTCAAATGAGAAACCTTTCACGTGTACAACCTGTGGAAAAGGTTACAATGAAAGAAGTGGTTTGGCTTATCACGTGAAAACTCATACAGGTGAGAAGCGTTTTTCATGTATGACATGTGGAAAAAGCTTCATTAATAAATCTGATTTGAAATGTCACATGAGAACTCACACAGGTGAGAAGCCTTTCTCATGTACAACTTGTGAAAAAAAGTTCACCAATATAAGTAGTTTAGCTCGTCACATGAGAACCCATGCAGAGGAGAAGCCGTTTTTGTGTGTAACCTGTGGAAAAAGATTTTGTGATAAGAGTAGATTAACTTCGCACGTTAGAAGTCATTCGGGTGAGAAACCTTTCTCATGTATTGCTTGTGGAAGAAGTTTCACTCGTAAAACCTTTTTAGTAATTCACATGAGATCTCACACAGGTGAGAAGCCTTTCTCATGTACAACATGTGGAAAGAAATACAGTGAAAGAAATGCTCTAACTTATCACATGAGAACTCACACGGGCGAGAGGCCCTTCTCGTGTTTTAAGTGTGCAAAAAGTTTTGGCCATAAAAATGTTTTGAGACGTCACATGAGAACTCACACAGGTGAGAGGCCTTACACGTGTGTTACCTGTGAAAAACGTTTTAGTCATAAAAGCCTTTTAACTATACACACGAGAATTCACACAGGTGAGAAGCCATATTCATGTAAACTGTGTGGAAAGAGATACAGTGAGAGAAATGGCTTAACTTATCACATGCGAACTCACACAGGTGAGAAACCTTTCACATGTTTTAAGTGTGCAAAAAGTTTTGGTCATAAAAATGTTTTGAGACGTCACATGAGAACTCACACAGGTGAGAAGCCTTTCTCATGCATTACCTGTGCAAGAAGCTTCAGTCATAAAAGCCTTTTAATAAGTCACATGAGAACTCACACAGGTGAGAAGCCATACTCGTGTAAAACCTGTGGAAAGAGGTTCGGTGAAAGAACTAGTTTAAATTACCACTTGAAAACTCACACCGGCGAGGGTCTTTTCTCATGTGTGATCTGTGAAAAAGCTTTCATTAAAAGATATGATTTAACACGTCACATGCGAACTCACACAGGAGAGAAGCCATTCTCATGTGTAACCTGCGGAAAAACTTTCTGTCAAAAGGGTAATTTAATATATCACATGAGAACTCATACAGGTGAGAGGCCTTACCCATGTAAACTCTGTGAAAAACGGTTCACCAGTGGAAGCAGTTTAACTGTTCATATGAGAACCCACACGGGTGAAAAACCTTTGTCATGTACGACCTGTGAAAAAAGATTTACTAGTGGAAGCGGTTTATCTTATCACATGAAAACTCATACACGTGAAAAGCCTATTTGTAATGTATGAATTATAGTATAGTTTAACTTTAAAAAGTCTAAAGCCTCTTTCCCATTGCAATAACACGTGTTTTTCAAACAGGGGTTAACCTGCTAACAAACGGCTCCCTTCCCATTGGCAAAAAAAGCTGGGTCTAACCCCTAGCTGGAAAGTGGTGGCCTCTGTCCCCCCATCGCTGTATGTCTGGTGGCACCATGATGTGAAAGTAAACAATGTATATCAACATGCAAGGAAAACAGGGCGAAGTAAGTGTGCTTTATTGTTTCACTCTTTTATCTGTCCGAATCCCTCTTACCAGCATTTTATTTAACATAAAGGGAGTTATGCTAGCTTGATAGATAGGAAGCGACTGGCATAGAGTGTTGACGTCTGTACGTTGCTTTAAATGGTGTCACTTAAATTGGAGGGTCAACCTGGTTCTGGTGTTCCTACTGCATGCCAATCAGAGCCGAGGCGATTTTAACGCTGGTCGCTTTCCCAGTCGTTTGACCCAGATAGACACTCGTCAGTGAGCTGTTCTCTCTGCCACTAAAAGCTGATTGGTCCAGGGTTTAAAAGGTTTTTTTTCGGCCAGTGTGAAAGGGGTGTAACTCATCTTGAGTGGATGCACACAGATTCGAAGCTGTACTGGATGTTTGTTTAAAAAAAAAAACCATATGGCGAAAAATCTTATCTAATATCTCACCTCGGAAAATATTATGTAATGTGAGCTTTAGGTTTAAAGATTCTTGGTAGCTTGCTGTTCAATAAAGGGAGAAATATCTGCTGGATCACGTCTTAAAAGTTTAACAGCTTGATATGCAAAACATTTAAGGTGAGTTTTTATTCTAATTCTTTAGTAACCTTATTCAGATAGTTTGAATCACCCATACTTTAAATTATTTTTTAAGTGAAATATTTTTTAAGTGTCTTAAATACAATGTTTTTTTTTTTTTACATTTAAGATTCATTAATATTGTGTCTTAATGTGTCTTCTTACCTCTTAAACATATCTTGATGTGTACTTGTAGTCTATAAAAGTCCAGAAAAGTTTAATTTGGTCTCTAGTGTTTATCCTAATATGTTGTTGGGATTGTAACTTTCCATTTTCACTGTTTAATAATAGTATTTTCTGTGAAGCTGCTAAATAAGGTCATGAACTAGTGGTTTACAACCTACTGACTGGCATTTTTTGTTATTCTCACGGAATTTATGAATATTAAGTTGAAAGATAGATAATTAAAAAAGCTGATCAGTATGAGTCTTTCCTCAATCTCCCATGATCAGATCTTGTGGTCTTGTTACATTTATTTTTTTTGGAAATGTACTCACAAAAGTGCAGAAATTCCTCTTTGTTTGCTATAAGCACTTCGGGGGATGAGTGCTTCAGCAGCCTTGACCAGTATGAAGTATTGGCTGAAAGACTGTCAGTTCCTTCTGACAACAGAAACGATGGACACAACAAAGCGATAAGCTGAAGAAAACACTAAAATGACAATAAGCGTTTATGTAACTTACTAGCTGGTGTTTGGATGGCACTGCATTGTGCATTTTGGTCATGTTTGTGCAGCGTGTTAACTTGTAGTTTCTTAAAGACATAACCTTACTGTTCTTTGTCGTCTTGATAAATACATGATCTAAATGCATTCAGTGATGTTCTCTAGTGTGAGATACTTCTACTTTGTTTGGGTCTTGTATAAAAGACAGAATTAAGAATCTATGTTTAAATGGACCCAAAATTATTGTCTTCATTCACTCTGCTAAGAATTATATTTTATAGAGAAAAAACTTAAAACACTTTGAAGAGAAATGAGCATACTTATCTCTTTTTGGAGTTTGTATTCAGTCATATTGTTTTAGTGTTTTTAAAGGTTACTTGTATTTAAATATTATCAGTAACATTAATGACAGGATTAAAGTTTATATTACTACTCTGGGTTGGTAGAGTTTTTTCTACGTGAGGAATTTGCATTTTTCTCTTAGCTTAGAAAGGTATGGCGAAAAAAAAAAATGCCTGACATGACATGAGAAAAACAAATTTCTGCAGCGCTAGATTACGATACCTCTGCTATCAAACTACAAATATGGCCAAAAAGGGTGTGCATTTGGTTTTAAAGCAACTGTATCAAAACTAGCTAATGAGAGTTCAAAAATGGCTCAAATGCATGGCTGCAAGTTATATTTTCAGTTGTTTCACACTTTTTTGTTAAGTATATAATTCCACATGTGTTAATACATAGTTTCAATGCCTTCAGTGTGAATCTTCAATTTTCATAGTCATGAAAATAAAGAAAACTCTTTGGTCTGTACTGTATTCCTAGTGGATATAAATGCTTTCAGATTTACACAGTAGTGACTTTAAGATGTTTTATACTCTATTTTTTTTTATCTTTTGCTGCATTTATACTTGATATTATTTTCTCAGTATTTTTTATTTGTAAATGAATGCTTAAGGTTATGGACAGGCAGCCTGCAAATTAATTACTCTTTTGGAGTAATAAGATTATCTCACACATATTTTTTCATTATTGTCTCTTAGTTTTGATTTAAAATAGTATTTATATGATGCAATTTAAATATTGCGAATAAATTCCTTTTGTTAAATCATACCAAAGTGTAACTTTTTACTCTGGTATCTTTTTTTTTATTTACATAGAAATAATTTCTTGTTCAAAGAGGGGTTCGTTTTTGTGATATTATTGATTGTATAGATGCTATAATTAAAAAGATAAGATTAAAACTGTATATTTACTGTTCTTATTAAAATTATTTTGCTATTATCCTTTATTTCTGTTGACTAATTGTTTTTGTAGGACTTCAATTGTGTATACAATCATTTCCTGCATCAGTCTACTCTGTTCCCTTTATTATTTCATTAATTAACCGTCTCAGCTTTGTTTTCTCTTAAATATCTTTTTAGTTTCCGAGACAATTTTAAGGAATAAAAAAAAAAAAAAAAAAACTTTTTGAAAGCAGTGTCTCGTCTATGCAACTATATACTAAACTACACTCAGGAACAGGGAGATGCAAATAAATTCCCCTCCTCGTTGGATGTACCAGATGCAGGAAAAGATCAAAATGAAAAAATGAATTGTTTAATACATGAGGAAGGGCAGCTATCTTACAGTTTAGTCTTAATTATTAGATATGTTTTTTTTTTTATTATTTTCTTTATTTTCATGAGCCTGGTAGATGCGGGCTTCCATGCTTAGCAGTGTCTTTTTTCTCTATTGCAAAGAATGAAAAAGTACAAAACAAAGAGCAATTTATACAAGCATCTCAAATCAATTGCCATCAAAACATAAGGTCAGTGACCTAAGGTCTGTTTCACAAAGCATGTTTATGGAAAACTCTTAAGTTGTCTTAACCTGAAAACAGGGAATATCTGACTTTGCCGGTTCACAAAGACAGTTTATTCAACCTCTGTTTCAGTCATCGTAGTAACATTTCCCCAGAGCTAACCTGGTCAGTAGGATGTTTTCTTCAGTAAACTCGGTGTCCTCTGTCTCCTTACAGCCAATTACGCTGTTTTATTTCCTGATTTAGTCAGATTTTTGTCATAGTTTTGTTCATATATAAAATAAAAATATATATCATCAAACTAGGTCCGTTACACAAAATAGGTTTTAAAAAAAATCTTGCATGTCCATTTGACAGGGACCTTATTAAACGATCTGCCCTTTTTCACAGAGAATTAATAATTTGTAGGGAGAGGATTCTACAACTCAGTTGAAAGGGCATGAGATTACTTGTTTGTTTAATATGAGCAATATGCGGATCATTTTATTTTCATTTAATTATATTTACAGTACATGAAGAACTACTGAAATTATTTTCTGATTACACAAATAGATTCATTAATTCCGTGGGTGAAAAGGGTACCTGTCCTCATAACAAGCATATCAACTATAAATGGTTTTACTTCCAAGGACTAAGATGTCCCAACTACACTTTGATCAGTGTTTACAACAATGGATGTTTTTCTCTGTTGGACAGAATATACTGGACCATCTTGGAGTGTAAAATTGACACTCTACTGGTATATTCTTTTCTAATTGTTGGAAATGAATTTATTCATAAATTCAAATTTATGAAAAATGATTCCTAAATTCTGGGTTTTTGTCCATTAATCCTTCGTTATATCCAAGATGTCCGTTGTTAGAAGCTTACATTATAGATTTATACAATTTTGTACCCAGATTATGTTTTGTATTTATTAATTCATTTATTTATGTCTTTTTTTTACTACCTTACTGTGGCCTGTTATCATAGGTAGTATACTGCATATGTACAAATGCCCTATTATTTGTATAAATTAGTTTAATAACATAAAAAGATCTGTTTCTATAACAGAAACCACTATGAAGAATGCAGTCTCAAACCCACTAGATTGAACTTGTAAAAGATGGAATAGGAACATCAGTGACAGTTCGCCAGAAGGGCCTGAGCTGACAGTTACACAATGGTTTGACTACAAACTAATGTGTTTTAGCTTTACAGACAATTATGGCCTTCATGTTTTAGATTTTCCTTAAAAAAAAAAAAAAAAAGAGGTTATGGTGAATTTTTTCAGATTAGAAGTTCCTTTTTTTAAATCTCAACCTCAGTATAAGTCTTTTATTAGTCTAACACTTAAACTAAATATTGTATTTGTTTTANTATTAGTCTAACACTTAAACTAAATATTGTATTTGTTTTAGCTATGGGTGAAAAATTGCCATAATTATTAGAAATATATCTTTGAAAAAATATTTGTCTGTGAAAAATCTATATAATTATTTTTACTAATTGAGTGGAGTTGATTTTAATAAGTCTTTAAATAATATGCCTATTAGAATGTATTTGATACTAGGAGGAAGAGTAACTAAGTAGAGAATAGAAAATTCCAAGCGGAACAAAAGTCCGTTTACAGTTTCCTCCGTGCACATGGGGCGAAACACACGGGATCGTTAGCTTTCCTGTTAGAAAGTAGTTCCAATACGGTTCTGTTTTCTAGGATTATAAATGTGATTGTTCGGAGTAAACATGTTATCTGATCAGCTCCAGAGAGAGATCAGCAACGAGCAGTTAACTCCTGTCGAAGAAAAATGCACTGAGGTTAAAGAAATGATCGTCAAGTCCGAAAAGGAGGTGAATGGTCAATGTAGACTGATGGTGGATTTTAGCCCGACTCCTCCGATCATCTTAGACCAAAAAGGTATGAAACACCCTCAGTCCTGAAGGTTTAGCGAATAAAAAGTTTAAGGAAAGTTAAGTGCGATGCAGAATTCGGGGTCTGACTTAAAGATATTGTGGAGGATTTTCGACGTTTTTTTTTTCTTTTTTTTTAAAGGGCCTTCTTTTTAAAGGCGCGTGCACGAGTCAATTTCTCCTCGTGCACGTTCTGTTTAAAAATGTCCTTAAATCTCTCAATATTAGCATATTGTGATAAAGTTAATTGTTTTTTCATAATGTAATGATATAACTTGAACATTCATTTACTTTAGATTCATTGCACACTAACTGAATAATTTCAGGTCTTTTATTGTTTTAATAATAATGATTTTGGCATACAGCTCATGAAAACCCTAAATTCATATCTCACAAAATTAGCACATCATGAAAAAGTTCTCTAAACGAGCTCAGAATGAACCTAATCATCTGAATCAACAAATTAACTCTAAACACCTGCAAGAGATTCCTGAGGACTTTAAAACTCCCAGCCTAATCAAAACCCTAATGATGGGTAAGACTGCTGTCCAGAAGGCCATCATTGACACCCTTAAGCAAGAGATTATGATGCAGAAAGATATTTCTGAACAAATAGGCTGTTCCCAGAGTGCTGTATCAAGGCACCTCAGTGGGAAGTTTGTGGGAAGGAAAA